ATTCTATGATTCTGTGATTCTATGATCATTTGTCTCCTCGGGAAGGATGCACATATTTAACTTAGGTTGACATCTGTCATACACACAGGAGCAAAATAGTGTCTTTTTCTTCACAATCTGCCTCTTCACTAGCCAGGGAATTTCCATCTTTTGGGCTAAAATACACCACCAGAATCAGCAATCCTGCCTATTCTTATGCTACCCATTAATAATCCAATGGCATAATAATTTCTTACCCAGGCAGTACAGCAAGCAGCAAAACAGCAAAGCGTTGCCATACTGCTGCTGGACAACACGTGACGGGACCCATCCCTCCAGCAGCTGGAAATCTGAGATGTACCACCCCTCGCTTCTTTTCTGCAAAGCTCCAGAGGAGATCTGACATGTCCATCATACCTTTGGAAATGTGTCCTCACCCTCATCGAGCTCTCGGGTGACCGCGGAGCTGAGCAGGGCACAAGCTGCAAGTCCAGCTTGGCTCAGCTGAACCTCTGGTTTGCATTACCTAGGCAGCTGTAGGATTAGTCACGGTTACTCACGCTGGTGTCAGGTTTGTGCAATAGCTCACGGCTTCTCCAACAGCCGTCAAAGCAGCTGTATGGTCAGCCACGACTCACTTGCACTTCCCACCATCCCCCGGCCCACACGGAAATAAAAGAGCTGCCACTACATCACAGACCTTGAGTCATGGTAAAGCTGCCCTGCCTCCACTCTCATCCAGGCTAATTGCTGCCATCCCAGGACAGCTGCTCCTATTGATGCGGTTTATCATGTTTCTCCATCTCTTTAGTAGAGTATCCTTATTAGAGGAGGTCATGGTCCTAGTTAAGCCTCTGAGAAACTTACTTCAATATTTCTTAGTCCTGTTCCCAGCTGAATGAAAATATACTGCCCTGAAACTAAAATTAGAAAGTCTGTATCAGTGTTTAAACCCCAACTTTACCCTCTTTAGGGTAGGTGAGCCATGAGGAAAAGACAGCTTTTAGGGCTGCAGGACTCCTACAATAAGGACAATCCCCAAACAGGCAAAAGCATAAATAGGCAGCATTACCAGAAAGGAAAGCTTTCATCCTCAGACCTGCCAAGCACGGAGTCACGGAGGTGTTCGTATGCCACCATTCGAACGCCAGAGTACACTGTGGAAAACAAAAGCAGGAGACGATTCTTGGGTCTGTCATTTCTGGAGGTCACGCTGTGATAGAGAAATCAAGAGATTGGTTGTAAAACACGCCAGAGCTTGCCTGGGTCAGCTGGTCACTGCTCTCACATTTATGATCAAAATGGGGAAAGCGAGGGGGCTGCCTGGTAGCAATGCTAGAGCCAGAACTTTTTAGCATCAGAGAATCTCTCTGGCTGAGCCAGGAGGCAGCACGGCTTATGCCCACACACTAAGGAGATGTGACCGCATTGCTTCCCTCTCAGCTGGTGCCAAGAACAAAACCTCCCACAAGTGCTTTTGAGGTTTGTTGCTGTCACCATATTTCCAAATAAAACACAGAAAGCTGTTACCTGTGGCCAAACCACTGCTGCATTTCTTCATTCTAGCACTTGCAACCTTATCTTTTTTTCCCAGCCCGTCCCCACTCCCCTCAAACAAAAGATATTTATTGTTGTGAGGACTGAGTGCTTGCTTGTGCTGAAGACCTTCCTGCAAAGACTACAGGGAAATTATAGTTTGTTTTCCCAGAAGCCAGAATAAGGCTGTGAAGGATTGGGGAAGAGAGGAAAGAGAAGGGATTGAACCAGAATCCCATATATTTCGAAGTGGGATTGCAGGGTAAGCTGAAGAAGTCCTCACAGATATGTTTAAAGTACAAGAACATACGGCAAGCTCACTCCAAAAGGCTGTTGGCCACAGAAGGTAGGAGCCAAACTTGTCCTATCATGAGCAGATAATCACCTATGTGGCGGTAGATGGCCGGCGTGGCTCCTTGCCAGAGCTTTCGTAAGCCCTCCTCCTGCACGATGCCAGCTGCGGTGCGCAGCATGCCACGATAAGGGACCGCCCGGCCGGCGGCAGCTCCATTGCGATGAACGGCAGCTTCACCTTGGACCTGCAGTCGAGTTTTCGTGAGATCCAGGGGAAATGTCACTGACGAGAAAGAGCAGGGAACAAACGTGACTGCGGGTGCAGCTGCGGGGAGACCTGCCACGCTGGTAACATCTGTGCCACAATCCCCCCCGTCAGGCGGCCAAGGGGGCTCTGCAAGCACCAAAGCACCAGCAGGCAGCGGGGACCGTACCCAATGGGGGTGCAGGCAATTCGTGGAGAACAGGAGATTCACGTCCAGATCTGTTAAAAGTGGTTCTGGGCATGAGTAAGCAAAATACATTCCCAGCAAACACCAAGTCTTTCTCCCTTATTTCTTTTTGCAGATTTGTTACAATTGCTTTGTTACAAAGCAATACATGTGCTTTCCAAGAGACTCTGGATTAAAAATGCTGTTCCAGTTACTCCCCTGAACAAAGATCAGTAAAATCTCTTATCGAGCGTGTGGCCTCTCCAATTCTGCCCAGCATAGTGGCAGCACACGTTACAGTCAGGAACAACCCCACAGTGGCCATCGTGATGCAGACACACATGCAGGTGAGCATCTACCCTCCGAACCACCCTAAAACATGCTGCTTTTCTGATGCAGACACAAAAATCATGTTTAGCCTGTTACTTCTCTCACTGAAATAACTGGTGGGCAGGGACGGTAGTCCAACTCAATCTCAGCTTCCCAGGGCTGCTCCTGAGACAGTATGGGTACATATTTTCTGCCCCTAATTTCAGTTCCAGGCCAGGAGTGTCTCACAGGGTGATGGATGGACCTTCCCAGCCTGTCTCAGGCGGTGAGTGCCCAGGAGCAGGGGTTGTCTTTGGTTCAATACCTCTGCGACACACCAGGCTACAGGGTCCTTCCAGAGCAGGACTCGGAGGTACTAGGGGAATGTAGTCACCGCTCAAGGCCTCAGCAGATTTACAGTCTATTTGTGCATTACGTTTGGTATTCATGTTTAAAGATTAGCAAAGATTGGGAAGTTACAAATCATTAGAGCAATACAACAGATTTGCCTGTAAGAGCTTGTTGAAACTATATAGAATATGCTGAGAAACATTCCAAATAAGTTAGTGATCACAAAGTAGTGCTACGCAGATGCCACGGTGCTGCTTTCCTGCATTTCAGCAAGCAGTTCACTATCTCCATTTTTACAGATATCTCCACTGTAACCAGAAACATGAGATTCGATTTTTCTTTGATTAACCCACATTAACCATGTAAAGCAAATTCCTGAAGAACTCAGCCCCTTGCTACTTAGGCAACAGATCATCCTGCTTCTTTAGTCTTTTTCCAGAAACCCAGCAAGCGCAAAGCTTAAATTAGTCACAACTGCGCTGTGTTAATGACTGCAGCCCTTCGGTCTCGGAGGCAAAGATTTCAACCTGAAAAAACCCTCCCTCCAGCCACAGTCAGGTGGCATAAAACACTTGCAAGGCTTAAATTATTGAAAAGTCACGACGAGCAGAGTGGAACGAACAGATTTGCTGGAGTGGAAAAGCCGGAGCGAACACCGAGGAATGAGGCATCCGGGGACTGAAGTTCCCCCTGCCCCCCGTAAGTAAATTTTGACCCCCTTCCCTCTCGGAAAATCATGGTGAGTTGTACCTAGTTCTGCCACAGCCGCTGCACAGGCTGACAGAGCGAATTTGCTGGCTCGGGGCCATCTCTCTGGGAGAGGTAAGCTCTTCTCTTCTTCTGCAGGTGACATCTAGCGTCTAACATGAAACAAGGCTAACCAGCCACCCTGCGAGGGTCTGGAGCAAAAGCAGACCCTAGCTCAGCTCTGTTCTGGGTCGTTTAAGAGACAAATTGCTGAAGGTCATGTTTCTCCAGCGCCAGCACCAGGAACTGCAGCAGCCCAAGTGCCTCCTGCAGAGCTGCAAGGTCCTTGTGCAGTGACACAAGAGACCCCTCCACAACAGGCTCCTGGGAAATGTAGTCTGTCACCAACACTACCCTCTGCCAGGAAACCGGCAGTGCAGGTACAGTCACACGCACAATTTTGCCCGTTATCTACATTAAAAAGATATATCAATAATGAGACCTCAGGATTATGAGAACACGTCTGGGGGCTGTTTGCTTTATGGGGTGCTGTCATTGACAGCAGTGCCTCAGGAGCCCCAGACTTGCATCCCCGTGTCAAACATCCAAGGCGGATGAATTGATCTGGATCTGGTTTAACAAAAGCTGCATTAGCAACAGCTACATGCCGAGCTGGAGTGCTAGAGTGCTGGAGTGCTTGCAGCAATTCACGTCTCCTGGGGATTAGGCACAGAGCAGTGCAGTTTGAGCAAGGGGCATGCAAACCTAGGAAGACAGAAGCCGATCTCTGCCCAAAGCCCCATATATGAAAAGTTTAAAGCTTTTCCTGGCTGAATGCTGAAGCCCTGTTAATTGTGTGCCAGTCCTAATTTCTCTTAAATTAATGTAGGCATATTTAGGTTCTCATCGTTAAAAAAAGGGTAAGGCATGAGCTGTTCAAGAGAAGCTTTTCATTTGTTATTAAGGCTCAGCTGAATCACTAAGTTAATCATTAGCCGTTAATCACTAATCCTCACGCTGAGGATTTGAGGATTGTTTAGGTCACAGAAATTTATCCCAGAACACCCCCTCCACACCCCTGTCTGACTGACTAACATTTTGGTACGTGGTCCCGGTTGCAACGATTCAGACAAATGAAGGGAGCATTGTAGGTGAAATATTCAGCTAAAGTCAGGCGAATTTATCTTGTCAGTCACCAGTAATTGGTATTAAATTGGATCCTTCTTTGGGTTAGAATTCATTAGAATTGATACAGTGATAAAACAAACTACCAACAAAACCCTGATTAAAATGGGAAGAAGGCATATTGCAATTAAATGCAAACATGCCTGGCTGCCCCGAGGGTACGAGTGGTTCAGAGCCTTATTCTAGAACAGTTTATGCAATCTGCTGTTGGCACTTTTGTGCCTCCCTCCGTAGCTATTCTCTGGGCTTGGGTCAGCTTGTGCCACTATATATCAGCCTGTATATCATCGATTTGTAATTTAGGTTGGAGAGGACCTCTATAGGTCATCTAGTACAATCCTTTGCTCAGAGCAGGGATAGCTTCAGAGTTACATCAGGTTGCCCAGGGTCTTGTTTGGTCACCTTCTGAAAACCTCCAAGGATGGGGATTTCACAGCCACAGCCTGCTCAGGTGCTTAACCGCTTTGTTAACATTTTTTCCTTATATTCAGTCAGAATTTCCCACGTTGCATCCTATGTCCATTGCCTCTCATCCCTTAGATGTACACCTCTGGGGACAGTCTCACTCTGCCTTCTCTATAACCATGCTTTAGGGGGTGGAAAACAACAACTAGATCCCCCCTTAAAATAAACATAGCGGCGTCCTATGGAGAGAGCAGCTCTCCATGGTCATTTTTAGTCTGAAGAAGTAAGTTCTTTTTTAAACCAGACTGATTTGGGGATAGCGCTGAGGAAGAATTTTCTCTTCCCACAGGATCTTTGAAATGAGCCTGACCTGGAGATGGATGCTTGCGTGGACACCTCTCTGATTTGTGGAGCAGAGAAGGGCCAGTGCGCACGGAGGTCCATCAAACAGCTGGAGTTCATATATCCCCAAATCCCGAGGGAGACAGCTCCAGCAGAGAGGACCCTTCCTATTTATCTATTTCAGTTTTCAGTGAGACAGCATTTTCTGGCTTCTGTCCAAAGCCAGTTTGATCAAAGGCTGCATATGCAGGGAGGGAGTGTGGACTTCATAGGCAAAGGAAACACAGCAGCAGAGTCAGGGAGGGCTGTGTGCTGCTGGAGGAAGGCAGCCAAACTGCTCCAGTCCTCTCACCTGCTTCCATCAGTGGTGACTGTTAGTTTACATTGGAAAGACCATTAAGTATTACCCAGGTCCAGGACTAGGACCTAGTCTGAGGAAAGCTTGTTAGTGACTATCGCACCATCGTACTGGTTGTGTCCTCCTCACGATAGTGCCTTTCAGTAGCGTCTCGTGTCCTTTACCAAATCGTGCCCCAGAAGCAGAAGCTAAACAAACAAAAAAAATGTCCAAAACAAACACAAAAGCCTTTAATGAATGTCTTCACAGAAGGTTGAGGGCTTGTATACATAGATCACTTTAAACTCACTATTCAGGCTGTGTATATAATGAAAATATACTCCAACATTACAAGGCCTTTAGCTCTCTTATCACTTTACCCCTTTGTAGGACAAGAAAGAATTTAATGGATAAAATAAAAGCAGGTTTTGTATTGTCTTCAAACTTGCTGAGGGTGTGTGGGGCTAGGCTGCGAGAGCACTTCCTAGTTTTTTTTATACTTAATGAATTCTGTACATAATTTTGGTGTGCCACTTCCACACACGCAAAGAAACCAGTCTGACCTCTTGTCTTCTGTCTGACATTGCAGTGATATTATAGGGGCCACCAGCAGGTTTTGAATTGTCAGTTCAACCTCCAAAGCCTTTCCCTGCTCCTCAGACACTGGACACACATCTAGCCTTTAATGAGATGAGCTCAGACAGGTGAGAGATACCCTCCATAAGGCTTACTGCTTCAGGTGATGCCTGCAGAAGTTTCTTGCCATCTGCCTTGCTGAAAGCTAAATGTCTGCAAATCACAGCCTCTCCGCTTCGTAATCTTGATATTGCCAAAAAATAATTTTTTTAACTGAAGAAAGCAACGCACTGCTTTGCCACAGTGTCCCTGGCTGTGTCCCTGGCTGCTTGGGTAGGCTTCCAGCAACGGGTGCAAAGTTCAAGGATTTGTCACAGCAACATCTAAGTTTTGCAAGCAGTGGAGTTGGTCCTTGTCCCAGAGCTCTGCCTTTTCCAAAAAAAAAGGGCTTGTCCCCTGGGCTGCTTGATGCTTTGACATCTTGTCTCCATGGCAGTGATCAGCTGGCAAGACTGATAAAAGCGGCCCTATTCATTGACTGGGGTAATCCTGGCCAGCGCGGCCATGCCGGCTGCTGCGGTAGGCGGAGCAGCTGCTGCAGCAGGCAGCGAAGAGGCAAAATGGCTCTTGCTCTCCTCTTGGCAGCAATCCTGGGACTTCTTATTGTCAAGGCTGTTTTGTTTCAGCTGAGAAACCCGAGCTCCCCTCCTTGCATCAGGAGCTGGATCCCTTGGTTTGGAGCTGCGTTTCAATTCGGGAAAGCTCCTCTGGAGTTTATAGAGCAAGCTAGAAGCAAGGTAATGGCTGTGGCGGCATGCCTGCTCGTGGGTGCGTGCTTAGGGTGGCTGCCTGCAAGGGGAAAGGCGAGGAGAAACTTCTGCATTAAGTTTGCCTCTTTCCTGTCATGTTTTATAACGTCAGGAACATTTTGCGTTTAGGACTGGCTTTGTACCAGTAACGTTCCTAAGTTGGGGATCCGATCCAGGCATGATCTCTGTGCTGTGATCATCCTCTTTGGACCCAGCACCTCTGTTGTTTTGCTTTTGCAGTCTGGGTACGTTTGGTATCTTGGTTTCAGATAATGTGGAAAGTCCTGTGCCAGGCACTGAGAGACCAGGAGACTAATTATTTGCGTGCCTAAAGTTAAGTGAGATTTCTGAGTACCAGCTGGTGTCCCTCAACATTCAAGAGAGACATAGGCATGCTTGGCAGGCAACTTTTTCCATCCTAAAAACCTTACCAAAGATGGGTGTGAAGATTTATCCCCTGGACATGCCTTTCTTTCTCTGTGTCTGTCTGATAGAGAGAGCCTAAATGATTAATTTAGATTAGATGCTTGATTTCTAGGCAGCTAATACTAACTGACATAAAACCCAGTTTCCCATTTTCATTCAGTGATGATCTCACCTGCTACTGCAATATAGTCAGCCTCAAGTGTTCAATACTGAAGGATCGCACAGCCCACTACTTGCAAAAACTAGCTACAAATGAAACCACTGTAACATCCTGAAATTTGAAAAAAAAAAAACTAATAAATAGTGGATGTTTAAAATTTGCTTTCTCATTTTGAACTGTTAGATTTAACTTACTGTTAGTAAGTACTTCTTTGCAGCCATGGTTGTTAAAAACTCGTGGTGTTAAATGAAAGCAGAGGTTCAAGTATTGTCAGCTGAAGTATGAGGTGTACGAACATCAAGAGCTGTCTGTCTTGTATTAAAGCTCATTGGGTGTTCCATAGAGTAAGCCCATGCGTGTGATCTGGAGTTCCTTGGCCTCGTTGAGCTTAACAGGCCGGCTTTAACCTCATATTACTATGTCTTTTCTCTATGCATAGCGTGATCAGTTATTTGTTCATTTATCTCAGGGCAGAAATGTAGGACTGGAAAAAAACTCATTCCAATCCATTCTCCTACTGTTTCAGAAACCATGCCATATAGTCCTTTAAATAAACTGATCAAGCCTCACTTCAAAAAACGAATCATAGTATTTCTTTGACTCTTCTGATACGAGGCTGTTAAGGAACCTCCTTGTCCTATTGAAAACGTATCCTGGTGGCAACCAGATTAAAGCAGCCTGCCAAGCTGTCCTTTCCAGTGCAGTCCCTTTTGGGGACAGATGTTTCACCGTGACTTAAGCTTGCTTTAGTTGCCTTTTTTCCCAGGAAGCTTTTAGCAAAGTCCCTTAGACGAAATTTTAAAACAAACCTGACAGCAGAGTCCTTTTTGGTGGTTCATTCACAGATTGAATGAGCAAAGTTTTTACATATTAAAGAATGTATTGAAGTACAAATGCAAAAGTAGTGGCTCTGGGTCCATTAATTTTGATGTTCATTTGTCTGGAGACTCTGTTGGTGCTATGGCAGCTGCTGACATACCTGAACACACCAGAAACACCTGAAGAACTTTATAAACCCCAGGTTTTGTTGGGACAGAAACATTTTCAATGGGAGGAAACTCAAAAGAAGGCAAAGCAGAAAGGGAAGGCTTTCTTACATATCTCCCTTTTACTGTGTGTTTGCAGATACGACCTTTCCTTTGACTTTTTTCTTAGTCCAGCAACTCGGCGTCCTTGTGACTTGTGACCTCTCCCTGCGGTCCCCCTGGGCCAAGAGGGACCTTCCCATCCGTCACCCCAGGCTGGCTGCCTGCCTTAAACACCCCCGGCACGTCTCCCTCCCTTCCCATCTCCCACACCAGCACGATGTGCTGAGGCCAGGAAAGATAAGGCTTTTTCTGCCTGCCCCCTTTTAAAGGAATAGACGCTGTAGCACAGTACAGCCAACTAAAACAGGTGCTGCTGCCAAAGGGGGTCGTTAACAGGCATTACAAGGGTTGCAAAATACATCTGCAGCGATTCCAAACTCCTTAATATTGCCAGAACAGGGTTAACTGCCCTTAGTACGAACAAGCTGCCCTTGTAAAAGTTAGTGCAGAAACAGGCTCTAGGCAGCGTGAAAACTCTTCAGCTCCGTAGGGTCATTACCTTCAGGGGAGACTTTCGCAATTAGAAAATTCCTCCCCGGATTAATCCTTCAGTCAAAGTGACACTCATTTATTTTTCTTTCTTAAGGGGTTAGCTTTCTTATTGTTGTTCCTTTTGTGTATATTCCTCACCGCTTTTTCTCTCAAGCCCTGGAGTAACACACCAGACTTCCACTGCTTCCAGCCTGCACTTGGCTTGAAGTTCGCTGCTTCTGTTTTCCTCGTACAGAAGAAGACGTGGGCTGGAAGAATTGTCTGGTTTTTCCCTTGTGTCATCAGTGGGTCTAAGAAAAGAAAGATCCCCGGTTCTAATAAAATATTTAATCTCTGGTCTAATAAAAGATATCACCTCTTCCTCCTAAAGCTGCCTGGCTAGTTAAAGCGGTTTTGCAGGCAGTCTGGGATGGGCAGGGTGGGTAACCGTGCAACATAAAATACAGGTAGAGCTGCTTAATGAGGGGTTCAACGGATGCGGTTCCCCACTTTGCCTGGCGCACATGGTAAGAGTTAATTAAGGAATTTCAAATGCTTCTCATCAGTTTGCTAATTAATCTAACAAGAAAAGTTCAGCAAAACCCCTGAGATTGTTCTGCACTGTTGTATGGAACTGTGGATACACACATCACTCTCAGTGTGTTGATTGTGTTTGGGGCATGGTGCCATGTCTCAGGACTCAGCTAGGTGCCTCTCAGCCTTATTCTCTGTCTGTGGTTGCGTGAGGGATGGCTCGCTGGGTGACACGGCAAGGGACATGCATCCCTGCATGAGGGGAAACGGGCTGGAGAAGAGAATAAGGCTTCTGGTGGAGCATTTCTGAAGACAGTGTCCACAGCTAATGGTCTGTGACCCCTGGTCCCACGCACAAAAGACCAAACTGCTAAAGTCCCTGAGACAGAGAGGGGACGTGGCATTGAACTCGTGTGTGTGCGTGCCAAGGGAGAGAAACCAGCCCCGTGCACCTCGCTCCCAACACGAGTCTTGACACAACTGCGGCTGTCTCAGCCGAGAGTGGTTGCTCCCTGCCCCGCAGCGCCCCTGGGAAAAATGGCTGTTTCCCTGATTTCCTTCCTTTGGGATTTTGGAGAACATCCTTCTGAAGTTTTTATTTCTCTGGAGTGTTACTTTCATGTCGGCTCAGATCTGCCTCTCATCATGGCACTGCTGTTTTGTGCGGTGTTTCCCAGTCTTTGGAAAAACCAGAGCTTTCATGAGTGAAAGCAGCTTCATAGGGCCTAAGTCCTAAGAGGATTTTTATTTTGCTTTCTATATCTCCGTATGTCATCAGATCTCCTTAAACACTGTTTCAGTAAACTGGGGCGCAGTGTTGGCAGGCAATGCCCACGCTTCGTTGGTACCTGCCCGTAACACAACGATGGTAAAATGCAGAACTGCTTGGCAGCTTGTTCCGTCGCTGATTTTATTACATTAGAACATCAGCATAATTATACTGGGACAGATGAAAAGCCTGTTTATTCAGGTGTCTGTCTCAAACAGCAGCTATTAGTAGATGCTCAGTAACAGAGTGTAAGGAGCACACCCAGGTGAGAGTACACCACCTTCTGCTTTTTCTTCCCAGCTTCTGGTCGTCAACAGTTGAGGACTTCCTAGGCTAGAATTTGCATTCAGATGATCTGACTATGATAACCTCATCTCTTTTGTTACCCTGTGTATAATTTTGGTTTCACAGCATCCCGCAGCAATTAATCCATAATTTAACCATGAACCATGTGAAGAAAATATTCTGTCTGGTGTTAAACCAGCTAGCTTCTAACAGGTGCCCATTCGCTTTTACATTATGAGAAACTGGGAATAATTATTCTCTTTTCACCTTTCCTGGGATCTAAGTCCACCTAGTCTCCTTTTTTTGAAACTTTCATTCATGCTGGCTGTGCATCCCTTTGCCTTTTCTAGCTCAGTATATCCTGCTGAGATGGAACGGGTAGAGACACACATTAAATTGAAGATATGGGCACAGGAGGGGTTTAGATGTTTGCTGTTCTTTCTCTGCTCCTTTCCTAGCAAGATGAGAGCTCTAAATTAATTATTAGCACTTGTATAATAGATCTTGGAGTCATTTCAGAATGTGATTCTTCTAGGCCTTCTACTTCTGTGATGTTTCTAGGTCTCCTCATAGTTTAGACTCCCAAATGACTCCAGATCATGAGTAAACTTTTAATTCCTTCTTTTGAGGAATGAATTAGGAATATGTTTTAGGCCACACATCCTTATGTCTTCCTAAAAGCTGTATTGGGCTCTTCTTCGGTACATTCTATTTATCCACTACTAATCCTGATCTTTAATAACGCTTGTAAAAATTTGCTGAGTACTGGAATGACTCTTTGAGGCTTCCCAGGTCCTCCTTCAGGAGTCCTTTAGAAAGGCACCACGTTTGCCTGTCCATCCTCCTGTTGCTGAGGGTGATTTAACAGATCACGGTAGGTGGTTCTGCAACTTCGTATTTTAATCCCTCTAGAGTTTTGAATTGAAGTATTTATCACCTAGCACTTGTTTAAGTCCTTCTTTACTATTTTAATTTTACATTTAATTTATCAGATATCATATTTGTTTGTAATTTCCTGTTTGGACACAAAATTCTGCTTTCTGAAAGATGTGTCTTTGAATATCCACCATCACTGTGCTGTTCAATGAAGCTGACTTGTTCTGGAGGTCCTTTATGGAGCTTTTTAAATTTCAATTTTGCTTAATATTGGTTTAATTTTAATTATTCTAAAGAGATTGCAGGAAATTGGATGAGATTCAAAACCAAATTGTTTGTGTAGGTATTTACAGGTAAGCAAGACGCCCAAGCTTTACTGATGGTCAGTGGACACGTAGTCAGTCCTATCAGTGGAGTCTAAGGGCAGTTCAGCTCACCGTCAAAAATAGAGGTGTGTAGTAGCTGGTCAGATTAATTGGTTTTTAGGCTTCCCTGACTGCATAGACTCTATTGTCTATAATGGGAGCGTAGGCATCTTGCTCACAGGTAATAATCTAAAATAAAGTGTTCGGATCTTTAATTGAGTGCGACCTTAATTGAATAATTAAGTGTTATTGCAGGTTGCTATTAGTTCAAATTTAATTTTATTTTAAAATTAGTTTAAGTACATTTTAATGTTAATTTAAAATTTAAAAAATCTAATTCAAAACCAAACACAGTACAAATTCACTGATTTTTATCCAGCCTGATGATGAGGACATGCTGTTATCCATAAAAAAAAGCAACCTTAGCAATTTAGCTATTATTAAAACAATATTTTATTTATTATCACCCAGAGAGTTTAAACAGTCATTCTTTCTTTAATAATTTACAGTTGAAGGACACAATCAAAATTCAACTGATGTCAAGAGGAATCTTTTCCTTGGCTTCAAAGAGCTTTTGATGAAGCAGGCTTTACAATACAGACACAGACAACAAAAGAAATGGTTGAAGTCAATGGCATAAACCGTGTGAGCAAGGTGGATTCAAGGCTTTTCAGTACTCCGAACAGATCAACAGAAAACTTTTTCTCACCCTTGTCAGCAGTGTAACCTGGAAAAGAAAATCAAGTTCCTTAATGTGTCTAGAGACTTTACGAAAGCCCAAACCTTTCCATATGTACAATAACTTTGCCAAAAGAAGGTGGTGTGCATAAATGTAAATGCTCCAAGGCTTTTGCCTGTGAGCAGAAATTGCCTTGACTAAGAAAAAGATGCTAAAGATGCTTCATCTCCTAATTTTGATTTTTTATGCCTAAATCTGACAGCCAGTATATATTGCACATTTGTTTGCTAGTTTAGAGTATCTACAAATACCAGTGATCTTTTTCATGACGTAGGAATTCAGAAGCTAATACTTATTGCTGAAAGTTTTGAGAGGGCTCTAGGATATTAGATTAAGGGAAAACAAAAGAATGATTTATGGCAACAAAAACCTTCCCTGAATATAAGTCCCAACAAACTCCATCTATTCTGCTCAAAGCTTGTTAGCTATTTTGATATTAATCTTTAAACAACTGTATAAGAAAGAAATGGTTGATATTAGCAGAACCTTTAAAAAAGGAAAGGGAAAGGGAAAGGGAAGGGAAAGGGAAAGGGAAAGGGAAAGGGAAAGGGAAAGGGAAAGGGAAGGGAAAGGGAAAGGAAAGGGAAAGGGAAAGGGAAAGGGAAAGGGGAAGGGAAAGGGAA